AATTGATCTGCACCTCCAAAGTAACTGTTAAAGTTTGTATTGTGAAAGTATTGGTAATGATTTTATTGACAACTTTTAATTTATTTTTACAGTAAAAACAGTACAGAAAACATCTGTTTTTCTCAAACTTTCAGCATTTATTCTTTGAGTCCTGGGATCTTTTAGAGAATTTTCAAGAAATCTCTTAATAAGTTGTTACAATGTATATTTAAAATTAATAATTTAAATGAAATATTTATTATCTGAACTTTTAATGTTTGCCTTTCCAATGACACTTGAGAAAAATATTTTAGCTATTCTTGAACACAATAATTTGAATTCAATTGTAATCAGAATTTTACTGTTTCACTACAGGTTGTGGTTAAGGTCGTTAGGGTACCTGAACTGTATATATCCTGGTTAAGGTAAATGCCTAACCCTGTTAGGTTTGGCACTCTAATGATCATAACCATGTGCTTATAAATCATAACATTTGAATTATTTTAACTTTAATTTGAGCTCTGTAATTTTTACACCTATCTTGTCTGGTTTTTCTTGCTTGTTTGTTTGTCATTCCAATAGTCAGCTTCCACTTTTCAAAAAAACATGGCAATAATGCAAATGCAACATCCTTTGGGTTTTTTCCCCCCTTGTCATTGTCATCTTTCCTCTTCCCTAATCTTTCCTTTCTGTGATTAGGGAAGTTGGTGTATTTTGAGTCTTTACACAAAATGGAGGAAAAAGTTGTGGATTTGTATAATTTACTCCTTTTCCCCATCAAAAAAAGTATGCTTTTTTCAGCTAAACCAAGACTCCCTTATTCCTTGAGGAGGTAGTCCTATAGTGGGAGCACTGATAAAGTACACCATTTTGGTAGGATGTGTCTGAGGCAGGGAGAGAGGCTAGTGCTTATCAATGTTAGGCAAAGACAATGGCAAAAGCTTCTTCCTCTGACTTCTCTTTCCTTGTAATATAAAACTACACAGTGCATATCTCTGCCCAAAATGGAAGGGAGCGAGGACCTCCATACTTAGATCTTCATATTGTAGTATTTCAGCACCTTAAAAACTTCAGCATATTCATTCTTTCAGCTCCCTTTTGAGGTCAGGCACTCCTGTCTCTTCAGTAGCTGGGGCTCTGTGGCCCAGGGTGACAGCCCTATTTCTGTGTTCTCCAGAGGGCTATGGGGTAGGAGTGAGTTGAGCTATAGATTCCTCATTCTTCCTTCTTCCCTCATAACCTCTTCTGTACACATCTATTATCAGGACACAGCATTGCCCTTAGGTGTTTGTGCCCTCTTAAAATCTTCTTCTCAAGGGTATTGGTTACCTTCAACTCTCATTACCTGCTGTTGTTATGTATAACGAATTCTTTTTGCCCTGTGATCCATTGTGCTACTTGATAAAACTATACTCATGAAACTGTGATTCAGAATGAATCTGTGCAGAAGTAGAACACAGGATTGAAATAAATATGTATGATCTTCTAAATCAGTGGTTCTCAACCTTTTTGAAGTTGAGTGGCACTTGAGAAAATTGGCTGTGCTCTGTACCTTGCTGAGGTCAGCTCTGAATGCACGAGGAGCTGTCACCTTGCTCTTTTGTTAAGTACTTGTGTAGTTGCTGGCTTTATGGAAATTATAATAAATCTGCTTATAATGTGATGGCTACATCATTCAGTTCCATGTATCATCCTGGAATCAGGCTGTTAGGGACTATATATTTATTAGGATTTTCTACGGGAGAATACATGTGTTATTGGGTGGTGTATAGGGATAGTAAGTCCTGAACTTACTGCAGAAGTATTGGATATGCTACACCTGTGAGATGCAGTGATGTATTTCATGAGCAGTTGATCTGTCCCATAAGTCCTGGAATTTCTGTGTATCCATTGTACAGGAAAACCTGTTTGATTTTGTGGTTTTTGTTTTGTTTTGTTTTTCCCCTGCACAAGGTATGTGTGTATATACTGTGTAATGCTGTAAATCTGATAGCTTATGGACATGCCTTACTGTGCATGGCTGTGAGCATGCATGGTGAGTCTCTCCTACACTTTGCCAGCAGGTCCATCATGTCATTGTTAACGTGCTATGAATGCGATGTTTTCTGGTGGTGTATAGCTGATCCTCACATGTGCAATCAACATGTCCAGGATTTCTTCACATACAGCAGCCTGGATAGAGCTGCACACTCTTGATGCTGGAAATCTGGATAAAATTTTCATGGGGAAGAGAAAACAATGCGAAACAGAGAACCTAGAAATACAGTGGCCTTACCTAAGTAAAAAACCCCAAACACCCCCAAAAAACACAAAAAACAGAAACTACCACCACAAACAAACAACCAAACAAAACATTTTCAGCTCTTCTTTATCTGATCAAGCAGAGAAGGGGAGGGAGGATATCCAGATGAGGGGAAATACAGCTAATTGAAGATACTGAGGAGTGTCTGAAAATGTGTGATTCGCTGCTAAACAGAGACTGAAGTGCTTGCATTAAAGTTACTGGTGCTCCAGGAGGGTTAATTAGCCAACACCAAACTGGCCCTATACCTTTATGCTGCTCCCAAACTGATATCCAGTCCCTGGATTGCTGCCTTTTCCCTGTTTTTCCAAACTGGGGGCCACTGCCTGCCTGCCAGCCTTCCTTACACCCACGTTCCAGCGCTACCTGTGAGCTGTCATCACCTTATAGCGGAGGCAGAGATCAGACTAACAAATCCTGTTGGCCTCTGCTGATTCGTTCCAGGTATGCTCAAGAGTATGTGCATCCCCTTCTCTGAAAGTGTGGTTTGGAGGTACTAGCACTAAGGATCAGTTCACAGTAGGATCTACCTCATGTTGCCCATGTAATGGGATTATATAGCACAGGTTGGCATGTATTCTGCTTTCTGTCCTGTTTGCGCAAGAGCATGACCATCAGCATTCCTGAGGTTTTTTGTTTTTATCCATGCCTTGACAGTCTTTGATAGCAGAACTGTTCCATGTATATGTAATACTTCTAAGCTTGTATTTATTTTGTAACTGTGAAAGTTGCCAAAAGGTTAGTTAGATTTTTAATAAGATACTATTACAGTAAAAGTAAGATTTTCACATCCAGATTTCTCTTATTAATGTGTTGACAGAAATTTAGTAAAACTTAAAAAATGTACACTCTTCTGTTGCTGAAATGCTTTGATATGCTTGTATAGAAGTAGGACACTTTGTCATGTTTTTGATATAGACAAAATGTACTAAAAGGGGGTATAAAAAGCAGTTGCAATGAAAATTCAAATTACCATCTGCGCATTTCCATTACTAACAATATTGCCAACTTTTGTTTAACAAACAGATGAGCCCAATGTAAAATTACTAAGAGCAGATAGTAAATTGGACATATGCCTCAAATCATTTGATCAAATTCTATATACAAACTCAGAAGGAAGACAATTCAGTTTTTATAGTGTGCTGGTTTATAACGACATTGGAAAAAAAAACCACTGAAACATAAGATGATATAGACAAAGAAGTTCCTGTTGTTTAGTAGAAAGCAACGTTTTGGCAAGAAAGTCAACAAAAGTCTTAAGTTACTGAGTATCTTATGGCATTTGAAGGATGTAAACTGCATTTGTGTCAGTAGTCTCTTTTGCCTGTGGCAAAGAAACCAAAGACCACATAATGAAGTGATAACCCAGAAACCTCTGCCTTTTCACATTTGTTAGAGCATGGTAGTTTCCCCTCAGCCAGGCCAGGTTCTCTCTTCAGGGCCTGCATCAGTTGTAGTCAAGAGTTTACTATCATTATAAGCCATGTCACCAGCTGCTTTCAAATATATTCTTAATCCCAGATACTAAATATGAAGTTGACTTTTTTTTTTCTTTTAAAAGCCACTGAGTGCCAGAAGCACAATAGCAGTGTTAAGACAAAGTGCTCATAGGCCAGTTCCTTCTGCTGTGACTAAGATGTAGGCACACGTGACTATTAGTTTTGCAGCACATCAGGTTTCAGTCATTTGTAAATGTGTCCTCTAATGGTGCAGCTGCCTGCACCTTCTGCTGTCTCCTGCCCTGCCTGAAGTTACTATTTTCTTAGCAGTGCTTCTTCAACTGTTTTTTGTTGGCTGTTCTGTAACATAAATCAATGAAATTATCATTTTAAAAAATCCCAAAATCTTCCCCAATTTTATTTGCAAACAGGTTGTTTTACAGGTCTGGGTCAGAACTTGGCCACCCCAGCATTTGTCCCAGCACTGCTGAGGGGCAGCACCCTTTAGCCACGGCTGCAACGATCATCTGGGAGCAGAGGGAGCATTTAAACTGGACCTGCTGCTGATAGACTAGTTGATGTGGATCCATAGTCATAGCCAGCCCTGAACTTTATGCTGATGTGTCTGTTGTACTCCTGCTGTCTAAATCAGGTTGTATAAAGCCAGTACAATAATTTCTACATTGCACTGAACTGCACCATGTACACCACTGTAAGAATGGCAGAAGCTTGCTGTACTATGCTTATTCCGCCAAAGTATCCAATTACAGAAATTTACAGAGACAGCACAAAACAGCAACGTGATATTCTGTGCACTATAATCCTCGTTAGAAATAATGCTAGAGTGATTATGGGAAGAGGTGATAAAACTCTGCAGAGGCATTTGCCTGGAACTAAAGATACAGAAATTCTGCATCTTTGAAAAGATGCAAGATTTCAATCGCTTGTTCAAAACCTCAGAAAGAATCAATGTCCTAAGAAGTTAAAGAATCCAGAAGTTTGTGACTTGGTTCGTCTGCTTAGGTTGTACCTCTTGAGCCTCACACTGTGATTCAAATATAGTTAAGGCATCAGAAAGAGAGGTGTCACAGTTCAATTTTTAAATTCAATTTCATACTATAATTTGGAATGTAAACATCAGTCTTGCAATTTATTGCAGGTAAGCAATATTTTATATTCTTGAAATGTAATACTAATTTAGGTGGTAAGTATAACACACTAAGAAGAAAAAATGGTCCTAAACTAACAAATATTTCTTTTTTTCTCCTTCATTTTGCTAGTGCTGTTTCTGAGGCTGAAGGAATTGAGCCATTAGTAAATACCTTGAGTGCTCAGAGAGATGGGGCCATTGCTAATGCTGCCACAGTGCTAACAAATCTGGCTGTGCAAGAGCCATTCCGCATAAATATCCAGAGCCGTGGTATTATGAGTGCACTTGCAGAACCGTTGCGCTCGACCAACAGCCAAGTGCAAAGCAAAGCAGCATTTGCTGTGGCTGTGTTTGGTTGTGACGCTGATGCAACAACTGAGGTAAAACTCTTCTTCAAGGCTGTGGTTATTTGTAACATTTCTAGGTCCTGAGGTTGGTGTTATACTTACCCAGGATCTTTGCATTTTGTATGTCTGTCGTAAAAGTCCTGGGGTTTCTAGATGGTAACTAATTCTTCACTTTCATCATAGGCTTGTTCTGCTGAATTTAGCTATGCTTGTCATGAGAACTTGGAAAGGGTTTTCTGTAATTTGTATTTCTACTGATGTGTTTGCTCACACCAAAGTAATGTTTTACGGGTTTCCAGTGGCTTCAGTGAGCTTTAACCAGGGCTATATCTTAATCCCCATGTTTATGAGCATTACATTAAGGTTTCTCGCTGCTGCAACTGTCGCCTGTATTTGAAGATAAGAAGTTCTGTCCTCTTTACTCTCCCTCAGTGTTGTTCTATTGCCCACTTTCAAGGCCTGAACAGCAATGTCTAATCCTGATTTATAAGATAGTGGATGTGCATGGAGTAAACGTAATTTAAATAAAACTAAAAATGTAATTAATCCCTTGATCAGTGGCATCCAGCAAGACAAACTTTTTGCTGTTTGTCAGTGGTCATATTATTTTCTTTTCATAAATAAGGATGATGCTGTGTGCATTCATAGATCATAAGCTGGGGATTTGTCATGGGTCAAGGCTGTTAATTAGGACATGAATAAGGGGCATACACAATTAATCTACCTCTTTCCTTAAAATGTCTTTCTCTTCAAAAATCCAAATGAACAGTATTTCCTCCAGCGTGTAGAGGAAAGATACTGTAGCACACAAGAGAATAGGATGTTAGTAAGATTGTCATACATACGATACAAATTCAAATATATTGTAATGTAAATTAGTTGCTAGGAGGCAACAGAACACAGAAAAACCTGTGTAACTCTCCATAACCGTGTTGGGTTGCGTAGCCTCTTCAGTTCCCTCACCACGATCTAATAACTGAAAAGCAAGCCAGAGCCAGAAGGGATAAGTGCCTTCAACCCCTCTGAAGCTCGCTTCAGCTCCAGCCTATGCAGAGTTCACAGAAGCAGAGAATCCCCATAAATGGTCTTTCTACCAGCCCAGCATAGCTTGCCTACAAGGCTTGAATGTTTTGGAAGGTGAATTTCACAGGCTGTTCTTTCTTTTTTTTTTTTTTTTTTTTTTTTTATAGTTAAGAAATGCAGGTGGACTGGGACCACTCGTTAAATTGCTGCATTCTAAGAATGAAGGAGTCAGAAGAAATGCCTGTTTGGCTGTTACGGTCTGTGCAAGTGACGAACTAACCGCTGTTGAACTCTGCAGGCTAGGGTGAGTAGAAATAGTATCAAGGGGCAGAAGGAAGATTTTGATGAGAGAACTCTCATTAAGTTGATCTTTACATGTTTATATCAGAATAACAAAGTTAAGCTATGCTTTCTGGTAAGCAGAAACTAATTTTGCACCCCAGATGTTACAGATGAAATGGTATTGATTTTAAGTAACACAAGTCTTAAGAAAAAAATGCAAGCCTGAAGAAAGAACTGTGTGGAATTATAAAAAAATTTATTATTTCTGTAACTGAATTAGGCTTTATATTGAAGATGTGCTTATATCAGTCAAAGTTAGGGACTGTAGTGCCCCTTACGTGTGAAACTGAAATTAAGTTTTCAGGCTAAGTTCAATATACAGTAAATTGCACTTACTACACACAGGCTAAATTTGGATGACTGTTCAACTGCAGGTGTTCCAAGTGCCACATGAAAGAGACTCTATTGTATTCCTTCTAAGAAACTCCAAGGTCCATATATTAATATCTGAATTACAAAAGCTGTTTTAAGAGTTATGGCACAGGGCTTTTTCTACGGGGTGACCCTTTCAGCTATTGTTAAATTCAAATATATGTAATTGCCCTGCTCCCTCTGCTGAACACTTCTCTGATTACTGCACAGATACTGAAAATCCATCTATGAGGGGATTTTGCAGAGTGAGAGTCTCAGAAATTTAGGTCTGGAGGGGACCTCAAAGGTGATGTTACCCATATACCCACTGTAAGACTGAATCAGATACACTGACATATTTTTGCTTGTTAAGTGTAAATATCAATTGTGAGGGGGTTTCACACCTTTCTCAGGTAACCTGTTCCAGTGCTGAAGTATCCTTACAATTAGAAGGAGTTTCTGAGTTCTAAATATTCCTTACAGCAGATCAGTTCAACTACATGTTGTCCTACTTTCAGTGGGATTGAACAACCACCTTTTTATAGGAATTTGATTTTAACTTACTGAATTTTCTCATGTTCTGTGTCCCTCTCTCAGTTCCTTTTCATGACAAAGTAAAAATGTTAAACTTCTTTAAAAAAAAGATTCTATCATTTTGTCACACATCTCTGAATTTCTCTCATTTATTTATGCCATTTTGAAGTGCCATCTCCCAGCCTGGATGAAGTACTTCAGTTGAGGTCATACCACCATCAAATAAAGCTCAGTAATTATTTTCTATATCTTGCATATAGCACTGTTCTTATTTAATCCCTTCTTTGTGACTATTGGAATAGGACTCTAATTTATGTGTCTTTCCAGTTTGACAGCATATTATTGATAATAATACATTAAGCATGGTTTTTCAACCAGTCAGGCACTACTTCATGTTATTTTCATGTAGATCGTATTTCCCTGACTTGCTCATGAGTATTCAAGTAGGAATATGTGAAAAGACTTATTAAAGTCAAAACATAACTCAAAGTCAACTCATATCTCACATCTACTTCTTCTGCCTCTACACTAAGTCTGTTACCCTATCACACAAAGGATTAGATTGGCTCTACACGATTTATTCTTGACAAATACATAATGGCTATTTCTTACTGTCTTATCTCTTGTTGCTTGCAAGCTGATTGTTTAATAATTTGATATTGTGTTCACTGAAATTTGGCTGAATGATCTCTATTATTTCCTTGTTCTACCTTTTTCAAATCTAGATACTATCTTTGCCTTTCTCCACTCTCCTGGCACCTAGTCTGTTCTCCCTGAATTTTCAAATATAATTATAAATAGTTCAAAGGTTGCTTTTGCCAATTCATAGACTAGTATGAGGTAAGTCTCCTCAGGCACTGATAACTTTGTCTCTTCAAACTTATTCTAGACATGTTAAGCCTACTCTTTCCATCTCCTTGTTAATATTACTGCCAGGCATCTGCTTGCAACCTTTTTATGAAAACTGAAGCAAAAAAGGCATCAGACGCTTCAGTCTTTTCTATGCCATCTGTTATGAGTTTTATTCCCACACTGAGTAGTAGGCCTACATTTTCCTCTTGACTTGAAGCATATGAAACATTTATTTTTGTTTTCAGTCCCTGAATAGTTGTATCTCACTTTGCCTGTGGGTCTTTTGGGTTTTTCCCTTACTTTTTCTTCCCTGTTGGAAATGTTTCTGTTTCTGTATGAGTCCTTTTTTGGCTTTTGGGTCTTCACAGAATTTTTGGTGCAGTTATATTTGTCCCTTTTTGGTTTGTCTTTCCTCCACATGAGGATAATGTGCCATTGTGCCTGTAATGTCATCTGCTGTACTCGGGCTTTTCTTGCTCATTTTCCCCTTTAGAGTTCTTTGTTGCATTACTTGCTGGTTACATGACTTCGTTGCACTATGCTGCGTGACAAATAGCCTGTATTGCCATTCCACTTTTTTCTCCCATTACTCTCTTCTAAAATAAAAGGCTGTCATTTGCCTTGCCTGAAAAACTTGTTCTCTGGAATCCATCTGACATACCTTCAGAAGTCTACATTGTAAATGTCCACAGCTGAGGCTCCCTGTGTAGTTCACAGAGAGAAATGGGCAGTCTAAATGTGGAGTTCATTATATAGATAAAAAATTGATTCCTTAGGATGCGAAGAATGTCTGCATATGTGTATAGACACACACAGATATAAATTTGAATATAAACATACGAATATATCTCCCTCTTTTTTCCTGTTGTTTTAATTCCTAAATAGTTCCAAAATTGCACTATAGTATGTTCTGCTCAGTCAGCTTCCTTTTTATTCTTGGTGACCTTTTCCTAAGTTTCTCAGGTCAGAAGTAATCGGTATGTCTGTTCCAGCACCAAAACCAGCTTAAGGAATGAACTGCTGTCCTCCTGTGTCCCCACGTGATTACTTGTTTCTACCTCCATGCTGCAAAAATCCTGCATCTGGTGATGTTGACACAACTGATTGTGTTTCCATGCTCATCTGTGTTTTGCAAATCTTTGCCAACTATCCCTCCCCAAACACAGTAACAGTCCTAAACCAGAAGGATTCACACATTGGGTAATGGAATCTGCAAAGAGCATTGCAAGTTGGAGAGAGAGAGAGATTCCCCAAACCATATCATATGGTCATCTCTGAACATTATTGCTTTTACTCTGCTTTTACATCCTTCTTTTTCTCAAGTTCTCTGTGGTATCTAACATCCTTCTGCTAAAAGGTTGTGGCATCCTGTCAGCATTTCTTTATGTAACTCTGTAACTGCCTAAAGGAATTGCTTTTTGCTTTTAAGCATTGCAAGGCATTCTTCTCCCCTAGAGAAAGAATTCTGTGCAGCACAGCCAGCTCCTTGCTGGCCCAGGGACCAGCAGGCTAGCACTTGGAAATGAATCTGTCTTGGCCTGGGCAATGCTGAAAACTAACTCTGAATTGTATAATAACAATTAATTGGTATTTAATGATGAATTAGCCTTTGTATTGTGTTTAACAGTGCTTTAGACATCCTAGAAGAAATAAATTTATCAACAGGACACAAAAACAAAGTCAGTGAAGCTGCTCTGGAAAAGCTACTTGACAACAATCTTCCCCAAAAGTACAGCCAGATGGGATATTTATCATCAAGTAACATCATTACTGATGGATTCTATGATTGTGGTCAGGTAAGCTACTTTAAATAAATTACTCAGAAAGATTAAAATTTTCTTCTTGCTTTAGAAAAAGTAAGAGTACTATAGCAAAAGCCTGAATCTGGCTACGTGAAATACTTGGTTTTCTTGTTCTGAAGTTTCCCAGATTTTATACTAATTTCTTTTGATTATCTTTCTTCACAGATGAAATCTTAATGCTAACCTGACACTGAATGACCTGTGGACTTTCTGTTTGTTTAGTTTTACAGGAAGAAAGAGAGAGTTGATGTTTTCACCTTGGTCATGACCCTTTCTCTCATAAAGCACTGTTTGTATATAAAGAATGACTCTACTATGTATCACTTGTTAGTGCTGTATTCAGTTTAAATCTGAGAAGGACTTTCAAAATGCCCAAATAAATTAGAAATACCAGTCTTACTGAAAATCAGTGAAATACCTGCTCCTAAAGCACTTGGTTGCGTTTGAAAATTTTGTCCTATATAGTAAAGAGGCAGGACCATTTCCTAATTCTAGAACTGTTTGGAATGACATAGTAATGATAATTACAAGTGAAATTACTTATAAACAATCTTTTGTAAGAAAATTGATGAAGAAAATGCAAATGAAGAAGAAACAAATTTCATGTATTTTGAATGGCTTTGTAAGTTCTTATGTAAGTCTTCTGCTAAAGATTAGGAATTTTTAATTACTCTACAAGTATCTTTTAAATATTTTTTTCTCTTCATCTTTAACTGAACAGAATACCTTATCTTTTATTCTAATTTTCTTGTAGATAAAACCTGGAGTGAAATTGTTATCTTTGGAGGAACTGAGTATGCAAGAGCTTACTGACCGTCGGGCCATAATCTTCATTAATGCCAAACCACGAGAAGAGTGAGTCATGTTTGATCTACCAACATTTATTGCATTAGCTCGTCTTTTCCATCATTTCCACTGTATTCAGTACAAACTACATAGTGTATATATATATACACATATATGTATAATAAAGATCTCAGCATAGTGCTTCATGTCCTAGAAGGCAAGAGATACACATTTTATAAAATAAGAATTTGGAAAATAACTTTTTTTCGCTCTATACAGAAAAGATTTAGTCAGTTGAGTTGTTTTTTTTTTAACTTAGCCATTAAGACTCATTCATTTAACACCCTTCCTGATGGTAGGATACCCAGTATTTTATTAGTTACAACAAAGCTTGTCATCTGCCATAGTAATTATGTCATCTAAGCTTAATGTCAACATGCGACAGTGAAACCTATGATTTGATGATCTTCTTGTACAGACAAATGCATGGAATTTTAAGCAAAACATCCCAAGAGGCAGGACAAAGGCAAGCATCAAGCTTTCAGGCTTGATAAAGAACTTGAGTCCATTTCTTCTCTGTTTAAGTTGAAGCCAGCCTAACAGATCTTCTTAGATCTGAATGCAGGAAGTTGGTATTGGGCTTGTTTAACTGGGAGTCATTTCCTGTAAACAGTCTCACAGATCAAAGAATGCTCTACCAATATTTTGCAAGTCCAAAACCTTCTTCTCTGTCAACACGTCACATATTTTGCTTACAGTATCATTAGCTTCCCTTTTAGGCTTCTATATGACACCATAAAGATGTCTGAGAATGTCTATGACAAATTAAACTTCCATGCTCTTTGTTGATCCCTAGAGTTGTCTTGAACTGTCAGGTTTTCTTTCTTTGGCTTTAGTACAGCTTCTTGCCTTTGCACCTTGGCAGCAGTCTTACTCCCCAGTTACTCTTGTGTCCGTCATTCGGTATTCCATACTTCATTTTTAATCCTGAGACAGTATTCGGTTTATTCATGGTTATGTTATTTCTTCCACTTACGTACTTCCTGTGAATATATTTACTGCCCTTTAAAATCAGAACACCATTTTCATAGCTTAACAAGCTTAACATGCAAATACTGTCTCTGCAAATAATACGCAAAAATATCTCATTCTGTTTCAGTGTCCTTGCAGTAGAGGAAAAGGCACAAGATTCATCTTCTGAACAGACTATCATGTCACCTATTTCAAGAAAAAGCAGTAGAGAAAAAGCAAGGTATGGGCTGAAGATTTACCTGTCAATGTTCTGTTATTGCTCTCTAACATTAGAAATAGAATTCTGGTTGAAAATAGTTATAGAAAGTTTCCTGACAGAGTACAAATGCTCAAATACAATGTTAAGTATGTTTGCAGAGTCTTTCTTTCACCTCCTAATTGCAGTAATCTTCTTTTGTCTATCTGAGTAATAATTTGTCGTCCCTACTCATGCTGTATTTGAACATCTCCCATTTATTTGGTTGTTTTTCTTTTCAATATCCCTAGGAGGCAGTGAAATGCTGTTGATTTACAGCTTGACAACCAAGACACAGGGAAATTAGGGTAGCAGTTCTTTCTCAGTTTAGAACCTAGACCCACGGAAAGTTCCTACACTGCCTACATACATCCTTATTTCTAGACTAAATTTCTTCCAATTAAATTCCGTAGATGACTAAAAGCCAAGAAGGGTGTGCTCAGAACTGTCCCAGTTTTGATGACAACAAACCTAAAAATGCGTCGCTCTTGCAGGGCTTCCTCTGTTCCGTGCCATACACTAGGTAAACTCCTGCAGTCCTTCCTGTGGAACTGATCTGGTGGACATGTCTGCTCATACCAAATAGGTCAGAATCTCTAACTTTATTGTGGGAAATTAATTTCCTTCTTTTACAGCAAGAGGATCTGAGCCTGCCCCTCCCACGTGCAGACAGCTGATCACATGATATTTGGAGTTTAGCAGCCTCGTTGTAGCTGTTCACTAATCAAGAGGCATAATGAACAGAGCTTTCTACTTCAGCTGTTAGGACACTTCTCTGAGCAAGCTGAGACCAAAGTTCTAGTCCTTGTCTTGATGACTTTTAATATAAAATACTTAACCTTTAGTTTGTTCCTGTGGAAGAAAACTGTACCGTGGTCTCCCAACTGAACCAGTAACTCTTTATATAAAATAGCAGCACAATCACGACTGCAACAGTGCTTTTCAGAGAAGGCAGGTGTACATGCCTAATTCCAGGGTAGTGTTCAGGATTCCAAAACCAGTCCAAACAGAGCGTCCTTGCCATGAATGGGATGGTGTCTAGTCCATGATAGGAACGTGATGTAACCTACAACTCTCCTTGGCTTTTCTGTTAGCTAACTTAGTGAGCTGACCATTTATTATGCTGGTTTCTGTGGGTACCAGTCCTGGCTTCCTGATTTTCCTTATGTTATGGTATAGGGGGCCTTGGCCATGCCTCAGGGCTGTTATTTCTAGTCAGTGGTAGGCGTTGCAAAATGCTAAGCGCTGCAGTGTTTGAAAAAAAGGGAGAGATGGAGTGTATGTTGTAGGAACTGAGGTACTGTGTTTGCTATTTGTAGCTTGGAGCTCATCCATGAACTATGATATGCTACTGTCCGTACAGGCATTTCATTGATAGAGATAATGTTTGATTTCTTAGGCTGCTTACATATTTCTGTATATGTATGTATCTGTGTGTGCTTGAGAGGTGAAATCAAGAGAAAATTGGAACCTGCTTTGTGATCTCAGTAGTTCAGTGGTATCTCTAATGGAGGAAAAGCAGGAGTTATCTGGACAACGGTCTTCACTGAGCAAAAGCAGAACTAGAAAAAAAGGCTTAATATTTGAATTATGTGTGTATCAGTTTATTTAGAACTGACATGCAAATTGTTGACAGATTATAGCTACTGACTGTGAAGGGTTGAGGTTCTGACTTAAATCAGGACCCGAATTATGAGAGAAGTCTATCCAAAAGTTACTGACTTACAAGGCAGATTTGACTAGTTATTTGGACAGCAAGTACTTCTGGAATTCAGTGTATATCATTTTGTAGTAGATACCTGAAATGGATCATATGAGTCGCATTGGGGAAGGTTCCTGTTTCAGGATGCAGCAGAGTAGATACTCCATCCTGAGTGTCTTACCAGCCCTGCTCTAGCTTCTGCTCATTTACCAGGTCCTCCTGATGTCCAGCATGCTCTGGTCATGACCCACCATGCATATGCCAGTTTACTCAAAGGGAGCAGGAAGCAAGGGGAGATGTGGTGCCCCAGTTATGTTTCATCCGCACCAGTAGGGGATTCCTTCATCTCAGAAGATGCTCTTGAGTCATAGACCATGTTGCATAGTCTCAAGCAGCTATGCAGAGCTTAGAGACCTGTTCTGACAAGATGATATGTTTATTACAGTATGAGATGAACATACCCTTGGATAGTTGCTTTTTAGTGTAATTTATGTCAGTTACATTGTAAATGACTGTAACCATAACACTTTTGGAAAGCAAAAAATTTTATTTAAGAAAAAACAAGTACCTGGCTCGGTTTCCCATAGTAAACTTGCAGGGATACAAAGACTTCTTTCTTCAAGTAGGAAATAATTGCTTTTAAATGTCATGATCAAGTTGTATGATTTATAACCCCATTGTCATTCATTTTGAATCCATAATTCATACATCATTATTATTATTAATTTGTGAGATATATGGGAGTTACTTGAAGGTCAGTATCTGACAGCCAAGTCTCAAACATGGTTAGACTTTTTCCTACATATTTTTTTCCCTTGATCATATGTTTCTGTTCGTCATTATTGTGCAAAGTACTACTGAACACAGTTTGAAGCCATTGTTTTGAAAAAGTGATACTGCTTCATATAAACCATAGTTGAAAGCTAAGAGAAAGGGCAGTTGTAATTGTCTGCTGGAATTTTTTGAATTGGATGTAGAGGAAGTGCCTAGCTGATAGTTTGACATATATTTGCATAGACAGATAGCAACATTTTTGATCAAACAGTTGAATAGCTGATATACACATTGACTGGACTAAAAGATAATATTTAATGTAGACTGATAAATGTGCATTTAGTCCATGCTATGTTCTAGTACAACATTTAAGGAAACACTTTCCAGTGCTCATTTACTCCTTTTCTAAAGGCAGCCAAGGCATTAAGCTATGCAAAGAAGGAAAGAAAATAGGTGTCATGGCTGTCTTTTGGTGGTAGGATGTTGTATTGGGTGCCTTCTTCCTCACACTGACTCTCTGGTGACCCACTGGACTTTTGTACTGAAGTTGCAACAGGAATCAGAAACAGCTTGGAGTCTATTAACTGCCATGAGTTCTCCTTGGCAATGTTGTTCTGCATTTGCAGCAAGTATTGTCTCACGAGCAGTAAGACAGCTTTTGGAAAGGGGAGTGATATATTTTTTTTTCTGATGTCATATTTCCCATTGATAAATAAAACAGGGATAAAAAAGAGGATAGGTTGCAATGGTTACTGATTGTTTTATAGCACTGAGCTGTAAGACAGCAACTCCACAGTTCCTTATGAGATAAATATTAGACAGACATGGCAAACTGAAGAGTTGAGGAATAGGGTGGAGACAGGTGTGGAAGACAACCTTATATCAGCCGTTCCACCAAGGAACAGAACATGGTCACACCTCAGAGAAATAAGAAGCAGCAAAAAACCCAACAAACGCTTGTTCAAACCCATCCTTTTCAGATCTTTTCTTCCTGAAAACTGGAAAGAAGGAGAATAAGAGTGATTCAAGAGTCATTTGAGCAGATAGACGGAACAAATTCTCCTGCTGTAACACTGTAATTTAGCGGTGCGCTTTGCATAGGGAAAAGAAAGCACTGGGAGAATAGAAAGGAAGAGCAGGGAACAAAGAGAGAAAATGGTCAAGGAACAACAATTATACCATTTGTAAAAACCGTGATTTTGAAAACCTGCTAAGTCAGACACCAGAGGTGGGAATAATTCAGGTTTTTTTTAAACAGAGTATTCTTAACCATAATCATGAGTGTATAAATGGAGAAGTAGGTAGCTGTTTCATCTGGTATTGTAAGGTCACCTGGCTCTAGTTAAATAGAGTCACATTAGTTAAAGAAAACTGTTTGTCTGCTTTTTTCAAGTATAAGTGTAATTAATTACCAGAACAGTTTATTTCAGAGGGTGGTGAATTTTCTATAATTTGAAGATTAAATCTTAATTGGTTATCCTTCAAAAAAAAAGTGCTTTATGAAATCTATGAAAAGGGCTTTTTGTGAAGATGATAAATCTCAATAGGTAAAAGTTTGCAAAGTATTCTGAAGACAAATTGCTTGAATTAGACTACTGATAATGGTATATGCCCTTCTGCTTTGTCCAATGCCTTCCATCTTAAGACTGGGTTCATTGTAAAAAATTTAAGAATGATTTGAAAAGCAGGCAATAAGGATAGTGTGCCCTGGAGCCATGTACTCTGGTGGTCCTTTATTTCTTTTTTTTTTTCTTCCAAGAATCACAGAATTATTATGGATTTTAAAAAACAACCAGAACTGTTAAACAAAAGAAAGAAATTTTGTCGTATTTCACATTACAATTATTCAGGACCTATACTGAAAAAAGACATAATGCTTACAAAACACAAGTTCCATGTTTTGCCACAAATGAAAAACCCTAAACTGTCTGATTGTATAGACCTTAATGATACCTCTGCTAAGATACTGATTTTATAGTTACTGCATAACTTGTGAAATGCAGAGTGTTTTAGCTAAGCAGAACAAGCATTTCATTTATACCTCTGCTAGGTGCTTATGATGCCTGTTCAGGATCACAGTCATTTTTCAGATTCTGAACATTAGTGAAAAATGTAGCGTGTACAATGAAAAAAGTCAGCAAAACAGATCTGTTACAAAATCTTCACCTGACAAACCATGTTGTAGTTTGTATAATGCTTGAAGTACATGGATTTGCAACTACAGAGACTACCACTTGGCATGTTCTGTCAAGATTTCAGCCGTGCTCTTGATACCATTTGTTCCTTTATTTGAAGTCTAGATCTCTGTCGAGTAAAAACTCATGGGAGTTCATGATTTTTGACGCATGACCATATGCAACCAAACTGGGACTGTCTAAAAATGTTTCCTATATACTCTCTAAAAACATGTTATTATTCTGTAGCTGATCGTAGGTAAGTGTCTTCTCCCCTAGATAATCCACATGTGGGAAAAAGTATATCAAAGCCACAGACAAATATCAAACGAGAATTTACAGGAGCTAATGTCATTTGATTCCTAACTATCTCCTGAGGGCATGTTCCACAAATATTCTCTATAGCTTTGTAGATTTTGGACTATTCATTATCAAGAGAAAGGATTTCCCCTACCTTTCCCCCACAATCAGTTTGTCTAAAATGTCCTGTTGGAGAACTACTGTATTAGAATTTGGACTTTGGAGATTACAGTATTCTAAGTGCATATTGTTTTCTATGTAAGAAAAGGGAAGGGGAAAAAAGAAGAGGAAAAAATGAAGGAAGTTACTCAGATTGTATCTAAAGTCCAGGATGAAATAAATCTAGAAAATTCACACTGGCTACCACCACCTGACTTCATTTTACTGGATTATATTAATGATGCTTCCAGAACAATTCTACCACTAACTACTACCCGGGAACAGGTTGTGGCTCTTGCACAGTGAGTACCAAATTGTATTTCCATAAATAATGCAAATAAGTCAAATTTGTAAAATAACATTTTTCTCGTCCAAGGACAACTTTTCCAAATTTGTTATTTTTCCCATCCTTAATTGGAATCCAAATCAGCTTTGGTCCAGAATTTTGACGTAATGTTAGATGTTAAGCTTCTTGTTTCTGATTTTGTTGTAATTAGTTTAATTAAAAAAAAAAATAAAATATTGCGTGCAACAAAAGGGTGCAAATTTTGAAAATATTCATGTGGACAATTTCAGGTTTTTTTCAGATTTATGTATCTGTACTGATCCTTATGTATCTGTACTGATCCTTTCCAATGAATACATCAGCTGCATATAGCATCCGTATCATCAGGGAACAGGAGAGACCCAGATGCTGCAGAGCCTAAATGCACAGGCTAAAACCCTAGCCTAATACTGAGGCTGTTGCAGCTTACACGTATCGTGTGTTCTCTTACAGTCTCTCTTGCCTGGTTGGTTTGGAAACCCCTTGGGACAGAAAGTCTCTTGCATTTTTTTTCCTGTAGAGCCAAAAGCATGAGACATTTTTCTAGTATAGTTTTTGGGTGCTACTGTAATTAACATCCTGATGATTTCACAGTGCCAGAATCCTGCAATGGTGCGTGTACGTGGTGGTGTTTCAATGTGTGGTACATTAGTTACACTGACTCTTCAGTCTGGGCACCAATCACTGTTGTCTCCAAGCAGTGTATCTGCTTTCATCTTCTCCTTAGTTTAACCTTTACTGTCTTAGCAGTTTCCTGGCTGCCTCCTGAATCTGCAGAGTTTGGCATCAGATCCCACTGAGTCTCACAAAATTTGTTTTTTTTACCAACTCTCATTTTTAATGAAATGGTCTAATGTGATGTGAGGAATGACTTTTCTGTTGATTGCAGAATTTGACAGGACAGGTATTCATCCTTAACTATCCAGCTGTGTATAAATCATGCTGCCTTCTTCAAGGTGGAATCCATAAAATGCTCTTTCAAATCCACTCTTCAAGCACACCAATGAAATACTTGGAGACACACAATGCAGCGACAAAATTGCAGGAGATTTAAGTAGAATGTTTTCTGCGAGGATTTTTATGCGTGTGTTCCATTTTAAGCGGCTGCCTGAACAGTGTGTGTTGAATTGGAAGGGGAGGAGGAGGAGGCAGCCACAGCCACCCTCGCAATGGGGCAGCTTGATCAGGGTTCCTGCGGTGCTCGCCGGGGAGGGAGCCAGGCTGGGTGAGGGAACACGCAGCAGTGCTGGCTCTCTCCTTTTAAACAAACGCGGCACATCTTTGTGCACACACAAGAGTGATGTGCGTGTAGGCTCAAGAAGCTTTGCTCTCTTCACTGAGGGCTGGCTGCAGGCACAAGCAGCACAAGTGACTGCCCAGAGCCCCTCGCTTCTTCAGGCTCATCCAGTAATTCCCGACTTCAAGATACCACGTCTAGCCTGCTCAGTGATAACTTCCCGTACCCATGCTGTTGCAACCAGTGCCTCCTCAGGCCCTAGGTTTTGAGAAATACGGCCTTCAAGGTGGCCTTGAATGTACTGTGAGGACAGAACCTGTGCACAGTTACTGCAGAGGAGGTGATGCAGATTTTAGCTCCCTGTCTGAAGCAGTGGCTTGCGATTCCCATGTCAGCTCTGCAACACCTTGACCAGAGCAAGAACCCTCAATAACATTTGGGCACGTGACTGAGGGAACTTTGAGAAATAAAGGTCCTTACATACAGGAGCCATGCACAGGGGAGGTGGCAGTGTGTGTATGAGGAGGTAGGGGCTTGGTCCTGTGCACAGTCACCCCAAAGACATGCACAGATTGTGAGTTCTGATCTTCTGTTTCTTTGACTGAGCCATTATTTTTAATGGATGAATACATGCCCCTCACCCCCCACATACTGGCTTCAACAGAATCATAGCATCATTTAGGTTGAAAAAGACCTTTAAGATCACCAAGTCCAACTGTAAAACTAACACTGTATAAGAAAGCACGTGTAGAAGTTGAAGTACCCTTTCTGATATAGTTGCTTTCCTATGTTGAGATCATTACATATGGCTTTATTTTTGTCATATTTATTCTCACACCTTTATTACTATTTGAAACAAATGGAAGGGCTAGGGATTGTGATACGTACCTCATGTAATCTGTTAGCCGTAAAGGTGAACACTAGCTTCTGAACTACTCTCTCAGTAATTACACTGTTATGGGTGACTTTCTCTGAGGACTTTGTGTCTATACTAGACCTCTCCAGAATCTCTGCTGACAGCTGTTGCACTTTGGTTTAGGTCTGTGACAAACATGAATGACATGAGTTATCGTTACCTGTATTTAACAGTGAGCATATTTAAAATACGAGTTAAAAAATAAAACAATTAAAGCAAACATAGCAAGAGTACTAAAGACTTCATATGTCATTCACTTACTGCTTGCATATATTTAATTCTGCTGTATTTTTGTTATAAATACAAAAGGAATTATAGATGTAATTGATCCTGGTATAAATTGGAACAGGTTTGTTGCAGATAAGATGGGTGGCCCGATTGGAAGAGACAAACTACATGACTTCAGCTGGGAACTTCACATAAGTGAAATAGAATTTGAACTGAAATGCAACGTTGTGCCTATCGGGAAAGTCAAAAAAGGGACATTCTGTCACAGGGCTTTGCTTTTCAAGGTACATTAACATTTATTTTAAAACATAACATCATTGATATTAAATGGATATTCTAAACTAAAGTATACTTGCATCAGTACAATATAATATTTATATTCATGCAAAATCTTTTGTAAACACTCAAGTCATTTTTCACTGGCAAAGTTGATTTCCCAGTGAATGAAAGCCAGCATCGCTTCTTCCTGTAAACATTCTTGTTGTCATTAAATTGTCTTAAGTGATATCAGCAGAACACTTGATAAATGGCAAAAAGCCAAAATATTTGGTTGGGAGTCAAAACATTTTACATTTTCTGTAAACTGTAAAATATTGAATTATGCAGCTTCCTCTTTTTTCCATGCTACAAATGTAAACTTGTTGGGACAATTTTTATTTGGTATCTATCCAGTATTCTATGACAGGATATAACAGCTTTTATGTTCTAGTTTCTTAGACTGGGAAGATTCATTTCTTCTGTCTTCATGAGAAGATATACTGGTGCAGCCTGCTTATCTGTCCCATTCCTTGGCTGTTGGGTAGCTGGACTTTTCTGCTTCTTAGATGGAAAGGAAAAGAGAAGCAAGGGCCTAGCACATAAAGTGGGAAGGACCTAGGAAACTAGACAGGAGAAAGACCACAATCCTAAATTTATGGTCTCCATGAGGAAAGAAAGTTTCTGACACATTTTATGGAGGTCTGAGGACATGAATTAATTGTGCTGAAGCAGCACTGATGTTCTCTTACCCTCCACTATCCTAAGAAACCTTTGTAGAGATGGATCGTCTCTCTTAAAGCCACAGCAGTCTAAGCAATGGATTTCCTTGTCCATTTGTAACAACTTAGAACTCTTTCAGGATTCCGTTCCTTCACAGCAGATGTATTCTGAGAAAGCACTTTTGTAGCTGGAAACCATTATAGGTCTGTCAGTGACAGCGCAGCACAGAGGAAAGGCAGGTGTTTCATCTAGCAGACACTTGCCTCACATTTCATTGCTTCCCACATTTGCAGGGCTGAAAAGCAAGGAGTGTGCTTTGGAGTGAAGCAGCTGTCCTAAGCTTACACTGATAAAAATGTTACATTTCTACACTTAATATTTCGTACTAGCTATATGTGTGCAACGTACCTACACCTTATTGCTTGTATAGACAGTTCTTCAAAACGTTATTCAGAAAGAAGTCTTCCAACTAGAAAAACACATTGCTGGGTACTGTGGGTTTTGCACTGCATTTGAGATCTGAAGGACTGGCTGATAAACAAATGTACCAGTGTCTGAAAAAGAGTTAAAATGAATATTTTTCATGTTGTGCATAGAATATAGTAGAAATAACATTTAAAAGCCTACACTCTCTAAGCAGAACCAACAATGGCAGAATGGCAGAACTCAGAGGGTTGTCGTCAGCAGCGCTAAGTCTAGTTGGAGGTTGGTAACTAGTGGTGTCCCTCAGGGGTCAGTACTGGGCCCAGCCCTGTTTAACTTCTTCATCAACGACCTGGATGAAGAGTTAGAATGTACCCTCAGCAAGTTTGCTGATGACGCCAAACTGGGAGGTGTGGTGGATACACCGGAAGGCTGTGCTGCCATTCAGCGTGACCTGGATAGGCTGGAAAGTTGGGCAGAGAGGAACCTGATGAGGTTCAACAAGGGCAAATGCAGGGTCCTGCACCTGGGGAGGAATAACCCCATGCACCTGTACAGGCTTGGGGTGGACCTGCTGGAGAGCAGCTCTGCGGAGAGGGACCTGGGTGTCCTGGTGGACGACAGGTT